ATTTTCACCCGATTTTTTCCAGATTTTTTCCCAAAATCCCAATTTTTATCATTTTTCCTAAAATCCTATTTTTTCACCCCAAAATATCTCAAAAACCCTTCAACAACACCAAAAAAAATCCCATTTTTTCCCATATTTTCATCATTTTTTCCCCAAAATTTACCCAATTTTCACCCGATTTTTTTCCAGATTTTTCCCCAAAATTCACATTTTTTCATTTTTCCCAAAATCCCCGTTTTTCACCCCAAAATATCTCAACAAACCCTTGAACAACACCAAAAAAAATCCCATTTTTTTCCCACATTTTCATCAATTTTTTCCCATTTTTTTCCCATTTTTTCCCCATTTTTCGTCCAATTTTCACCCGATTTTTTCCCAGATTTTTCCCAAAATTCCAATTTTTATCATTTTTCCCAAAATCCCCGTTTTTCGCCCCAAACCCTCACCGGGACACCAGGGGTTGAAGAGCAGCACCAAAAAAATCCAATTTTTCACATATTTTTATCATTTTTTTCCCAATTTTCACCCAATTTTTTTCCAGATTTTCCCCAAAATTCACATTTTTTCATTTTTCCCAAAATCCCCGTTTTTCACCCCAAAATATCTCAACAAACCCTTGAACAACACCAAAAAAAATCCCATTTTTTTCCCACATTTTCATCAATTTTTTCCCATTTTTTTCCCATTTTTTCCCCATTTTTCGTCCAATTTTCACCCGATTTTTTCCCAGATTTTTCCCCAAAATTCACATTTTTTCATTTTTCCCAAAATCCCCGTTTTTCGCCCCAAACCCTCACCGGAAAACCTTGAACACCACCAAAAAAAATCTCATTTTTTCCCCATATTTTCATCATTTTTTCCCCAATTTTCACCCAATTTTTTCCCAATTTTTCCCCAAAATCCCAATTTTTATCATTTTTCCCAAAATCCCCGTTTTTCACCCCAAAACATCCCAACAAACCTTTCACAACACCTAAAAAAATCCCATTTTTCCCCCTTTTTTTACCATTTTCCGGCCGTTTTTTCCCCATTTTTCGTCCAATTTTCACCGGATTTTTTCCCAATTTTTTCCCAAAATCCCAATTTTTATCATTTTTCCTAAAATCCTATTTTTTCACCCCAAAATATCTCAAAAACCCTTCAACAACACCAAAAAAAATCCGATTTTTTCCCATATTTTCATCATTTTTTCCCCAAAATTTACCCAATTTTCACCCGATTTTTTCCCCGATTTTTCCCAAAATTCCAATTTTTTATTTTTCCCAATTTCCCGGTTTTTCACCCCAAAATCCCCACCAAGATATCGGGGCTTAACACAAAAAAAATCCCATTTTTCCCCATTTTTCCCATATTTTCATCATTTTTCATCCAATTTTCACCCGATTTTTTCCAGATTTTTTCCCAAAATCCCAATTTTTATCATTTTTCCTAAAATCCTATTTTTTCACCCCAAAATATCTCAAAAACCCTTCAACAACACCAAAAAAAATCCCATTTTTTCCCATATTTTCATCATTTTTTCCCCAAAATTTACCCAATTTTCACCCGATTTTTTTCCAGATTTTTCCCCAAAATTCACATTTTTTCATTTTTCCCAAAATCCCCGTTTTTCACCCCAAAATATCCCAAAAAACCTTGAACACCACCAAAAAAAATCTCATTTTTTCCCCATATTTTCATCATTTTTTCCCCAATTTTCACCCAATTTTTTCCCAATTTTTCCCCAAAATCCCAATTTTTATCATTTTTCCCAAAATCCCCGTTTTTCTCTCCCAAACCCTCACCGGGACACCAGGGGTTGAAGAGCAGCACCAAAAAAATCCCATTTTTTCCCATATTTTCATCATTTTTTCCCCATTTTTCACCCAATTTTCACCCAATTTTTTCCCAGATTTTTCCCAAAATTCACATTTTTTCATTTTTCCCAAAATCCCCGTTTTTCGCCCCAAACCCTCACCGGGACACCAGGGGTTGAAGAGCACCAAAAAAATCCCATTTTTCCCCTTTTTTTCCCATATTTTCATCATTTTTCATCCAATTTTCACCCGATTTTTTCCAGATTTTTTCCCAAAATCCCAATTTTTTATTTTTCCCAATTTCCCGGTTTTTCACCCCAAAATCCCCACCAAGACATCGGGGCTTAACACAAAAAAAATCCCATTTTTCCCCTTTTTTTCCCATATTTTTCCCAATTTTCACCCAATTTTTTCCAGATTTTTCCCCAAAATTCACATTTTTTCATTTTTCCCAAAATCCCCGTTTTTCACCCCAAAAAATTTCGGACACCGTTGAAGAGCACCAAAAAAATCCCATTTTTCCCCCTTTTTTTACCATTTTTCGGCCGTTTTTTCCTCGTTTTTCCCTTTTCACCCAATTTTTTCCAGATTTTTCCCCAAAATCCCGATTTTTATCATTTTTCCCAAAATCCCCGTTTTTCACCCCAAACCCTCACCGGGACACCAGGGGTTGAAGAGCAGCAAAAAAATCTCATTTTTCCCCTTTTTTTCCCCATTTTTTCCCCAATTTTCACCGAACTTTTTCCCAATTTTTTCCCAAAATTCCAATTTTTTAATTTTTCCCAAAATCCCCGTTTTTCACCCCAAAATCCCCAACAAACCTTTCACAACACCAAAAAAAATCCCATTTTTCCCCTTTTTTTTCCCATATTTTCATCATTTTTTCCCCATTTTTCGTCCAATTTTTTTCCCGTTTTTTCCCAGATTTTCCCCAAAATTCCAATTTTTATCATTTTTCCTAAAATCCCATTTTTTCACCCCAAAAAATCTCAAAAACCCTTCAACAACTCCTAAAAAAATCTCATTTTTCCCCCTTTTTTTACCATTTTTCGGCCGTTTTTTCCTCGTTTTTCACCCAATTTTTTCCAGATTTTTCCCCAAAATCCCCATTTTTATCATTTTTCCCAAAACCCCCGTTTTTCGCCCCAAACCCTCACCGGGACACCAGGGGTTGAAGAGCAGCACCACGTCGTTGTCGGCCTCGAAGGGCGCGGCGAATTCCCCGCTCTCCGTCCTCGTCCTGACGCTCAGCCGGTACCGACCAATGGGAGCCGTGGGCGGGGCCCGGAGCCCCACCCACAACACCTCACTTCCGGCCACGCCCACCAGCGGCTCGGCCACGCCCTCGTCAAGCTCCGCCTCCCAGCCCGAGGGGGAGGAGCCTCCGAGCGGGACCAGGACGTGAGTGCCCTTGGAGACCTGGGGGGTGGGGCCTGGGGAAGCCAAAAATTTTCACAAAATTCTCCCAAAATTCACCCAAAATTTTCCCCAAAATTCACCCAAAATTTCCCCAAAATTCACCCAAAATTTCCCCAAAATTCACCCAAAATTTCCCCAAAATTCACCCAAAATTTCCCCCCCAAAAATCCCAAAATTTTCACAAAATTCTCCAAAATTCACCCAAAATTTTCCCAAAATTTCCCCAAAATTTCCCATAAAAATTCCCAAAATTTCTCCAAATTTGTGCAAAATTTCCCCCAAATTTTCCCCAAAATTCACCAAAATTCCAAAAATTTTTACAAAATTTCCGCCAAAATTCCAAAAATTTTCCCAAAGTTTTCCCAGAATTTTCCCAAAATTTCCCCAAAATTTCCCATAAAAAATCCCAAAATTTCTCCAAATTTGTACAAAATTTCCCCCAAAATTTTCACAAAATTCCCCAAAATTCACCCAAAATTTTCCCAGAATTTTCCCAAAAATTTCGAAAAAATTCCCAAAAAAATTCCCAAAAATTTCCCCAAAAAACTCCCAAAAATCCCAAAATTTACCCAGAATTTTCCCAGAATTTCCCTCAAATTTTTTAAAAATTTCCCCCCAAAAATCCCAAATTTTTCCCAAAATTTCCCCAAAATTTCCCATAAAAATTTCCAAAATTTCTGCAAATTTGTACAAAATTTCCCCCAAATTTTCCCCAAAATTCACCAAAATTCCAAAAATTTTTACAAAATTTCCGCCAAAATTCCAAAAATTTTCCCAAAGTTTTCCCAGAATTTTCCCAAAATTTCCCCAAAATTTCCCATAAAAATTCCCAAAATTTCTCCAAATTTGTACAAAATTTCCCCCAAAATTTTGACAAAATTCCCCAAAATTCACCCAAAATTTCCCCCCAAAAATTCCAAAAATTTCTCCAAATTTTCACAAAATTTTCACAAAATTTTCCCCAAAAATTTTCCCAAAAATTCCCAAAATTCACCCAAATTTTCCCCAAAATTCACCCAAAATTTCCCCACCAAAAATCCCAAAATTTCCCCCCCAAAAAAATACAAAAATTTCCCCCAAAATTCCCCAAAAAATTCCCCAAAAATTCCAAAATTCCCCAAAAAATTCTCCAAAATTTCAAAAAAAAATCCCCAAAAATCCCCAAAAAAAATTCCCAAAAAAATCCCCAAAAAATCCCCAAAAATCCCCCAAAATTCCCCAAAAAAATCCACAAAAAATCCCCAAAATCCCCAAAAAATCCCAAAAAATTCCCCAAAAATCAACCAAAAAATCCCAAAATTCCCCCCAAAAAATAAAAAAAAATTCCCCAAAAATCCCCAAAATTCCTCCCAAAATTCCAAAAAAAAATCCACAAAAAATCCCCAAAATCCCCAAAATCCCCCAAAAAAATACCAAAAAAATTCCCCAAAAATCCCCAAAAATTAAAAAAAATCCTCCAAAAAAAATCCCAAAAATCCCCAAAATTCCCCGATTTTTTTCCCATCTCCCAAACCCCCAAAATTCCCAAAATTCCACCCAAAATTCCCCAAAAAAATTTCTCACAATTCCCTCAAAAAATCCCAAAAATCTCACAAAATTTCCCCCCAAAAAATCCAAAAAAATTCCCCCAAAATTCCCCAAAAATTCCCCAAAATTCCTCCCAAAAAATCCCAAAAATTCCCCAAAAATTCCCAAAAAAATTCCCAAAATTCCCCAAAAAAATCCCAAAAAATTCCCAAAATTCCCAAAAAAATCCCAAAAAAATTCCCAAAATTCCCAAAAAAATCCCAAAAAATTCCTCCCAAAATTCCCCAAAATTCCCAAAAAAAATCCACAAAAAAATCCCAAAAAATCCCCCAAAAAATCCCAAAATTCCCCCCAAAAAATCAAAAAAAAATCCCCAAAAACTCCTCCCAAAATTCCCCAAAATTGCCAAAAAAAATCCACAAAAAATCCCCAAAATGCCCCAAAAAATCCCAAAATTCCCCCCAAAAAATAAAAAAAAATTCCCCAAAAATCCCCCAAAATTCCCCAAAATTCCCCAAAAAAATCCACAAAAAATCCCCAAAAAATTCCCCAAAAATTCCCAAAAATCCCCCAAAATTCCTCCCAAAATTGCCAAAAAAATCCCAAAAAAATCCCCAAAATCCCCCAAAAATTCCCAAAAATCCCCCAAAAATTCCTCCCAAAAAATCTCCCAAAAATTCCCAAAATTTCCCCCCAATAAAATCCACAAAAATTCCCCAAAAAATCCAAAAAATTCCCCAAAAAATTCCCCAAAATTCCCCCCAAAAAATCCCAAAAAATCCCAAAAAAATCCCCAAAAATGCCCCAAAAAATCCCAAAATTCCCCCCAAAAAATAAAAAAAAATTCCCCAAAAAATCCCCCAAAATTCCTCCCAAAATTCCCCAAAAAAATCCACAAAAAATCCCCAAAATCCCCCCAAAAATTCCCAAATTTTCCCCAATTTTCCTCGTCCCCAAAACCCCAAAATTCCCCAAAAAATCCCAAAATTCCCCCCGAAAAATAAAAAAAAATTCCCTAAAAATCCCCCAAAATTCCTCCCAAAATTCCCACAAAAAATCCCCAAAAAATTCCTCCCAAAATTCCCCAGAATTCCCAAAAAAAATCCCCAAAATCCCAAAAAAATCCCCAAAATCCCCCAAAAATTCCCAAAAATCCCCCCAAAAATCCCAAAAAATCCCCAAAAAATCCCCCAAAATTCCTCCCAAAATTCCCCCAAAAAATCCACAAAAAATCCCCAAAATCCCCCCAAAATTCCCAAATTTTCCCCAATTTTCCCCCTCCCCAAAACCCCAAAATTCCCCAAAAAATACCAAAAAAATTCCCCAAAAATCCCCAAAAATTAAAAAAAATCCTCCAAAAAAAATCCCCAAAATCCCCAAAATTCCCCGATTTTTCTCCCATCTCCCAAACCCCCAAAATTCCCAAAATTCCACCCAAAATTCCCCAAAAAAATTTCTCACAATTCCCTCAAAAAATCCCAAAAATTCCCCCCAAAAATCCCAAAAACTCCCAAAATTTCCCCACAAAAAATCCAAAAAAATTCCCCCAAAATTTCCAAAAAATTCCCAAAATTTACCCCAAAAAATCCAAAAAAATTCCCCCCAAAAATCCCAAAAAATCCTAAAAATTCCCCAAAAATTCCCCAAAAATTCCCCAAAATTCCCCCAAAAATCCCCAAAAATTCCTCCCAAAATTCCCAAAAATTCCCAAAAAAAATCCACAAAAAATCTCCAAAAAACCCAAAAAAATCCCCCAAAAATCCCAAAAAACCACCAAAATATCCCCAAAAAATCTCCCCACAAAATCCCAAAAATTCTCCAATCCCCAAAAATTCCTCCCAAAAATCCCCAAAATTCCCCAAAAAAATCCCAAAAAAATCCAAAAAAAATCCCCAAAATTCCCAAATTTTCCCCAATTTTTCCCCTCCCCAAAACCCCAAAATTCCCCAAAAAATCCCCAAAATTCCCCCCATAAAATAAAAAAAAATTCCCCAAAAATCCCCCAAAATTCCTCCCAAAATTCCCCAAAATTCCCAAAAAAAATCCACAAAAAATCCCCAAAATCCCCCAAAAATTCCCAAATTTTCCCCAATTTTCTCCTCCCCAAAACCCCCAAAATTCCCCAAAAATCCCCAAAACTTCCCTTAAAAAATCTCCAATTTTCCCCCAAAAATCCCCCCCAAGGATCCCGAAAAATTCTCCAAAAAATCCCCAAAAAATCCAAATCTTTCCCCAATTCCCCCCCATCCCCAAAACCCCCAAATTTCCCCCAAAACCCCCCCAAAAATTCCCAAAAAATCCCAAAATTCCCAAATTTCCTCACCCAGCGTCAGCTCCATGCAAATCTCGTCGCCCTCGCGGAGGGGGCGGGGCAAGGCCACGCCCACATGGAAGCGCTGCCCCCTCCTGACCACCAGGGGGCGCTGTGCGAACTCCTGCGTGTGATGAGCCACGCGATTGGCTGAGGAGCCGGGGCGGAGCCTGACGGGAGCCAATAGGCCTGCGAGGAGACGGGGAGGGGGCGGGGCTTAGCGCGGCCGCCATCTTGGCCAAAGGTATGAGGGGAAACAAGCGGTTTGGGCGGGAAAATTGGGATTTTGGGGTAAAATTGGGAATTTCGGGGTGGGATTTGACAATTTTTTTGAGGAAAACGAATCTTTTTGGGTGGTGAAAGTGGATTTTTTTTATTTTTACTGCAAAAAATCTTTTCGAGGTTTTTTTTGCGTTTTTCTCAGCGGAAAATGCGATTTTTTTGTTGTTTTTGGAGTTTTTTTACCCAAAAATTGAGAATTTTGAGGGAAAAAGTCGGGAATTATGGGTGGAAAACGAAGTTTTTGGGTGGTGAAAAGGGATTTTGGCGATTTTTGGCGCAAAATTTGATTTTTTCGGTTTTTTTTTTTTGGTTTTTTCCAGGTGAAAATTGCGATTTTTTTTGGAGGGTTTTTACTCAAAAAATTGCGAATTTTGAGGGAAAAAGTTGGGAGATTTGGGCTGAAAATTGGGAATTTTGGGGGAAAATGAAGTTTTTGGGTGGTGAAAGGGAATTTTGGTGATTTTTGGCGGAAAATTGTTTTTTTCGTAATTTTTGGGGGTTTTTCACGGCAAAAATTCTGATTTCTTTGAGGGTTTTTACCCGATAATTGGCGATTTTGAGGGAAAAAGTTGGAAGATTTGGGCAAAAATTGAGAATTTTGGGTGGAAAATGAATTTTTTGGGTGGTGAAAATGGATTTTTGGGAATTTTTAGCGCAAAAATCGATTTTTTGGTTTTTTTTTTTTTTGATTTTGCTTGGCAAAAATTGCGATTTTTTGGAAGGTTTTTACCCAAAAATTTGGGATTTTGAGGGAAAAAGTTGGGGGATTTGGGCAAAAATTGAGAATTTTGTGTGGAAAATGAAATCTTTGGGTGGTGAAAGGGAATTTTGGCGATTTTTAGCACAAAACTTGACTTTTTTATAATTTTTTGGGATTTTTCGCAGTAAAAAAATGGGATTTTTTTGAGGGTTTTTACCCAAAAAAATGGGGATTTTGAGGGGAAAAGTTGAGAAATTTGGGGCAAAAACTGGAGATTTTGGGTGGAAAATGAAATTTTTGGGTGGTGAAAGGGAATTTTGGCGATTTTTGGCACAAAATTTGATTTTTTTGCAATTTTGGGGCTTTTTTCTTGGCAAAAATTGGCATTTTTTGAGGGTTTTTACCTGAAAAATTGGAATTTTTGAGGGATTTTGAGCCAAAAATGCGATTTTTGAGCCCAAAATTCATCTTTGGGATGGAAAAACGGGAGGTTTTTAACCCAAATTTGTCGTTTTTTGAGATAAAAATTGGCCAATGAGGAGGCGAGGAGGGGAAAAGGGGGCGGGGCTTAGCGCGGCCTAAGGAATCCTCATTTCCCCTCCCCCCCCGCTCCCAAAAACCACAAAAAAATCCAAAAAAATCCCAAAAAAATCCCCATTTTTCCCAAA